TTGTACGTACTCAAGATGCTTCCAACGGTTCCCTTTTTCTGACACCTTATAAACCCAATGAACCAGATCCAAGAACTGCCAGCATTTTAAAACCCAAGGATCTTTTGATGTATAAGGCAGAATTATTTTTTATCTAGTCAATATTATTTTTTTTTTTAAGCTATTCTAATGGGAATTAATTCTGGGCAATTTTTGGAATAGGACATACAAAACACACAGTGCATAGCCACTAAACTCCGTAGCTGTTTCCTGCTTGAGTCTAAATTTCTTCACATTGATCACACTCAGCTGGAGTGTGCTGCTCTGAACACCTCAGACTGAGCAAGGCACCACCCTATTTTTGGCAAGTGTTGCAACTTTTTTCCAATTTTGTGGTACTGTTTGTCCCCTTTAGTGGTATTCTATTCCCTCTACCACTCAATCAGTGGATTTTCTTTTGCCTTACTTGAATCTGCTACCTGCTATTACTTCCTTCAGCCACATCTTCTTCCCCTCACCCTTTATGTCCACTGAAACTTTGTGATCTTCTGTACAAATCTTTCTATCCCCCTTCTTTGATTTGCCATTTCTGAACACTGTTTTAGATCATCTTGCTCACATCCAGCATGAAATGAGTTCTGTTGGCAGAAGGACACAGCAGCTTTATTGAATGTGCTCAGGTTGCCTGAGATTATGTGATAAAAAAGAAATTGCAATTCTGATAGGTAATGCTTTCAGATGTTAAGCCTGGGACAGCCATGGGTCAGAAAAGTCCTTACTAAAGGCAGATTGTCTCCTATTTATCAGTAGTCTGAAGCAACATTTTTTTAATATGCCAAATTAACCTGACTTGCTTTTACCACGGTGTCAGTGCTATTTGGCACTGTCTTCCTTACACAAAAAAAACCCAAAAAAACCAAAACAAAACAAAAAAAAAAAAAACCCCAAAAAACCCACCAAAAAAGAAGAAAGGCTTTGTTTATTTGTTTTCATTTAAAAGATAAAAAAATCATCATTCTGCACAGAAAAATCCTTTATGTTATAGAATTACAGGTGGGGAAAGACAATGAACTATATCTTATTATATTCAGTGTTTATTTTTACTTTGAAAACTGTTACTATCTCTTCCTTTGCTGGCAAAAACAGAGTAAAAATGCTTTATTAAAAAAAAGTATATACTTCTAGCACAGATTTTTAAAATTACCTCTACAAAGGAGACTTCCAGTCAATCCATATAGGCAACTGGAAATTTGTTTGAATGCAAGCAGCTAATTGTCACAGTAATTTGCATGTGAACAGATTTAATGTAAATATAGAAACGGTTTAGTTATGTTTTTATAAATGTTGGACGTGAGGAATGAAAAAAATTCTATAGTAAATGGGGAATAAAATCAAAAGTTAAAAACTTACGGCATATTTCTTTAGAATTCTAGAGTCAGTTATCTAATGAACTTCTGTTTTGATGAGATGTGGCACTTTAATTCTCTTTAAAAACAAAAAAAACCCAACAACCTTACCTGATCTTTTGTCACTCTTCAAGCACTAACAATTATTAGTGATAAGTTAATACTCCTATTGACATCAATGGGAGGAAGAAGTGTGAAGAAATATTAAGACTGTAGGCAAATAAATGTCTTGTATAATTACTCTATTCTTAGCATCTTGCATTGCAGTAAGTAGCTTAAGAATTTCAATGCTAATAGCTCATGTAACTTCCATCATAAAGCTTCCTTCATCTGAAGCTGTCTGATAATGACATTTACCCTCTCTGGTTAGTGAGGAAGAGTGGAAGCCACTTGCTGTAAAATGTCTGAGGTCAGCTGGTTTCTTTTTACTCATTAAGTATAGCTCTTGCACAGATGGTTGAGAAGGTGCAGAACATTACAGTCATCCAATGTTTAGTTGTTTCTACATGCCTTAGAATTTAAAGAAAATTTAGGATGTATGGCAGTAGCTTTCCCTGTATAATCAGGTTGCTATGGCAAACCTATTATTCTATACAAAGAAGGAGTATGTTTAGTAAACTGCTGATCCCTTTTCAGTAAAATGTGAGCTTCAAATTACTTTCAAATGATTGAATTTGTTTGGTATTTTATCACAATAGCTAAGAGGAGAAGATCACAGAATAAGGTGTGGGTTCTGATATTTCAGCAGAAGATACATACTATATAGTTAGCTGTTCAGAAGCAATAGGATTTTAATTATTTGTTAAATTATCTCCTTTGAGTGAGCCCAATTGACACATAATCTAAGTAAAATATCGGTACTTTTAGAGGCAGACTATTTTTATAACCAAAACAAAGTGGCAGTTATTTAGTGACACCATTAAATTAATTCCTCATGCTGATCCTCTAACTTTTGTAAAAGTAAAGGGACTAATAATTTGAGTATCAATTTCAGCAGTAGTGTAATAAACTCCTGTAATTGTATTTTTGAATATTTAAAATTAAAGAAATAGCTCAAAGAAATCCTTTTCCAGAGCACTTCCTGACTGAAGTTTCTATTTTCAAGACACTTTCAATTCTGCTGAGGTCTGCAGTTGGATGATCTAAACCATATTTAGGTGGAATTTAGGTGAGAGTCAGGCAAAAAAAAAAAAAAAGAAACAAAGGTGAGGCACAGATTGAGAAAGTAGGGCCTAAATTCCCTTTGATCTTGTATCTCTTACATGACAAAAATGTGCTCAATCTGTCTAGGGATTGGCTTCCCTCCATTTTTCTGTTGGTGAGACTGTTGAACATTAACTAAAATGAATAAATATTACTTGCAGCAGGGACTGAGAGGAGCCTGTTCCCATTGCAGTGCAAGGGACCAGCCACTGGACTCTGACTTATTAAATTAAGCATTACAGAAGATAATGCTTAGTTACAGGACATGCAGGATCCTTGTTACAGGACCTTCCTTTGCTCATTCCTCTCAAGGATTTTCCATCTCCAAAATCTCCTCTAGTCAAAGCAGTTTGCTTGAAATGATTTTACCATCTTCAGGCATCCTTATTATAGGAAAGGCTGGCCAGGAGACCACTGCTGAAGATTCTTCTTTTGTTTATGTCACAGTCTCCACAACAGATGGGTCCTGTTCATCAGGTACCTCTCACCCTACGGGTTCCTGACTCTTCCTTGGGGCAGGCTGATGTGGCACTTTTGCAAAAGTGACCAGGTTGCCTAAGGTGAATGCATAAAAAGAGACAAATTAGACTCAATACAATTCTCTGTATATTGAAGCACTAAGGATTTTTCTTTTCTAGCTTCTAATGTGGCTGTCCTTGACAAATAATTAGAGCTTAAAGAATGCAGGCCAATATCATAACTTTTTTCTGTGGACAGTCATATCTTAAATTTTCACATGATTACTAAGCATAACTCTATTTCACGATGTGGTAGATGCACTTCCAATAAAAAGTTTCTTTCTCAAACAAGTATCCTCATGCAATTGACAATGAAACATAGTTTTTAAACTATGCGTATAATAAAGGTATTAAGATGTTTTTACTCTAATTCTCTTTATCAGTATGTCTTTTCTAAAATTCTTGCACTTTATGTCTGGTTTGAATCCTGGTACGTAAAATGTCAGCTCAGAAGTGCAATGTACATTGAGGCTTGGGAAGATAAAAAGTATAGAAATTATAAAATGAGCTTAGAATTTTTTTTCCAAAAGTAAAAAGATCTCTCCCTATTCCAACTTAACTAGAGTGTTTTCCTAAAAAAAAAAAAAAAACCAAAACAAAAAAAACCCACCAAAACAAACAAAAAATAAACCCCAAAGCCCCACAAACAAATATAATTAATTAAGGTTAGAAGTTGGGAAAAGAAGTAATCATTTGCCAGTACCTTACCCTAAAGGGTTTTATTCTCTTACACCTACAGTTAGAAAACCTTTAATGAGGTTTTCATTAAAAGTCCTTTCCTGTTCAATAAAATATTTCAGCAAATTCTGGAAAGGATTAATGCAGTGTGTTGTGAACTGTCTGGTTGCATAATGAAAAGCTGCACTTGGAGGATATTTTTTAATTTCCAGTAATACTGTAAATTCGGGGATTGCATAGAGCAGTGACTAGGCCCAAGCTGAGTTTCACTGATGCTGTGACTAAATTAAATCAATAAGGGCAGGTTTTCTTCATCCTAGTCCATGTCTCTGATGGCCATTTTTTACACACAATATCTCTTCCCAAGCCCATCAAATGTGTCAGTTTGGTCCATGGTTTGTGCCATATTTAGAGCATTCTTTCATCAACATTGCATAAAATAATTTTAAAACATACAGAGGAAAATTCTTAGAAGTAAGGGCCCACTACCTGAATTAAGTTTGTCTCAGACATGTGCAGTGGAGTACTGTCCTGGATATTAATTTTTTCCACATCTGGCCATTTAGTGCTCACTGCTCTTTGGGTTTTGGAGTGAAGATCTGTGAGAGCTTGGATAAATCTCTCGTCCCTTTAAGCTCTGGGGAGCTCTCCTGTAAATAGATTGATGGAAGGGGAGACTGTGACAGAGATTATGCTTATTTCTTCAGATCTAGACAAGAAAAATTACAGTGATTTTGCTTACAAAAAGCTTGACAGTATTTTAAGAATTGTTTTTCTACATAAATACAGAGTATCTTAGCTCTGTGCATAGACTATTTAATTCTGATCACATTTGTCTTGGTGTTTCTGAGATATGTGCTAAATTTTTTAGATCAATTATATAGGTTAATTATGCAGATAAGCATGGGCTAGCTTAGTTATGCTAAGTTCAGATATGAAAATCGTGCAATACCAGTGATTGCTTATTATTGCTGTGTCCACTAAGATTATAACAGTGATATACTTTTCATTGGGTTGCCATGGAGGAAGAATAGTTTTGTTTTGCTATGTCTTTGTTTGTTTGTTTGTTTTTAATTGTGTTTACGTGCTATACTTTAATCAATGCAGTGTGACTTGTAGTTTATCTTTGGGGTTAGGGTGCAGCATAAACTTGGGGTTTATTTCATTTATTTTACTTTATGGAAATCGTGACTCTAACAATTATTTATTCTTACAGGGAGATGTGAATGTGGCCAGTGCACTTGTTTCCCTCCAGGAGACAACAGAGTTCATGGCAAAAACTGTGAATGTGATGATCGACAGTGTGAAAATGCAGATGGTGATGTCTGTGGGGGTATGTATTCACTTAATATCACATAACATAGCAGAATTTAACAGCATAACAGAAGTAAATCTTGACAGTATATAGCTTTCTGTTCCCTTTGATTTTATAGTGTAATGTCAGTATAGACTATTTATATCATTGATTGATAATAAGATGGCAGATTTTTGTTAGAAACAAGCACTAGAAGTATTGAACATGTTAGAGAATATTTAAGACTTCAGGAATGCTAACACAAATGGAAGTGCTGTAGTATATCTTAAGTTCCATCAGTATTCATTAAAGCATACAGACACTTAAAGAAAAACCTAAAACATTAGGTAACCTTACATTGTATTTAGTTATGATGCTTTATTGAGGGTGTTGTAATAAACCTAAAGGTACCAATCACCAGCAAAACCTTTAAATATTTTGTATTCACTGACAGTGATATGCCTATTTTCTAAAAAAGTAGCAAAATATGTTATCGAAGGTAAAATGCTTGAGAGACAGTGTCATAGTAATTGTAGATACAGATGGTTTATTTTAGTGTTGACAGTGAAAACCTAACATTGTGATATTTCAGTAAAGTATGTTGGTGTTTAGCAGTATTTCAAGGTAGCTTTGGATATGTTAGTGCATGCATACCAAATGGTATTTCATAAGCAGGCAAATAATATTTATCATTAATGCTCTCTTTCTAGTTTTTATGTACTTTATCTTTAAAATTGCTCTCATTCTAAATACTAACAAAGTTGTTGGTATGAACAGTGGCACATTGTATTATATTCCTTATTTCTATGTAGGAAGAAGAATGTATTGCTTCATGATCCTCATGTATGTAAAAAATTCTGACTCCCCTGAAATAGGGAATATTTCTTCAATATTCTATATTCAATATTCATATGCCATGCAGAATATAGATATATATAAAATTTTGGTTTCAATGTCTAACCAGCCTTAAAAATAGTTTACAGCATTCAGAGTAATTCAATAATATGAGTGTGTAGAAAAAAAATAGTTGAAATTTGATTTTGTGTAAAGGACATAAAAACACTCAAAAGCACTGAAAATCTGTTTCATATTTATCAGAAATGAATAGCTGGGACATAAAATGCATCATCATCCATGCTAAAAGTATATTTGCTGTTTATATCACTCATGTTTTACATTATTACATCTCCCTCTCTTTCTTTTGGTTTTGTCTGTGCTTCCATCTCAGCCTGAAATGTCTTGCTGAACTGCTTGTTCTTTCATCTTTTCTTGTCCTCTTTTCATTGTTATTTTTCTACCACTGTAGCTGCCTAGGCAATCAGAGTAAGGACATAAACCCTTGCTAGTAAATCTGTCTTCAGAGCATTATAAGCTGGACTGTGTGGGGTCTGACAGTGAGCGCTGAGCGCCTGTAAGCACAAAGAAGGAAGACCAACGGATTAAATGCATGCTGAAATGAGAAATGTGAATGACAACCTAAATGATTTGAATAAGAATTGTTACTGGCCTTCTCCAGCCAGCAGAGACTGATTAATAGCTTGCTTTCCAGACCAGCTGTCCATGCAACGATAGAAAGACATGAGGTGAAAGCTATGATAAATTAAGGTACAACTGAATGAGATCCCATGGCCATGTTTCTGCATGATTGTAGTGAGTCATTTGCTTAAAAATTCAGCTGTCCATCAATGCAGTACCAAGAATAGAGACTTAATGTCTCCACAAAGAGAGAGGTTGCAGGAGGACTCGGCATAGATTTCACAGCACTCTGCTATTAGAAATTGATTCATATAATTATGGAATCACAGAACAGTTTGGGTTGAAAGGCACCTTTAAAGATCATCTAGTCCAACCACCCCTTAACATGGACAGGGAACCTTTCACTAAGACCAGGCTGCTCAGAGCCCCATCCAACCTGGCCTTGAAATTTTTGGAGGTGGGGAATCCACAGCTCTTGGCAACCTGTTGCAAGTCTCAACACCCTAATCATAAAAACCTCGCATGCTTATGTCCCAGCTAAACCCATTTTCTTTCAGTTTAAAACCATTAACCCTTGTTCTGTCACTACAGACCTTGGTAAAGAAATCTCTCTCAGTCTTATACTCCACCTTATAACATTGAAAGGTCACAGTAAGGTATCCCCAGAGCCTTCTCCAGACTAAAAAATCTCAATGCTCTCAGCCATTTCTCATAAGAGGAATGATCCTCTGATCATTTCTGGGGATAGTCTCTGGACCTGCTCCAACAGATTCATGTATTTCTTGTACTAGGGACTGCAGAGCTGGACACAGTACTCCAGGTGGGGTCTCACAAGTGTGGAGTGGAGGGGGAGACTCACCTGCCTTGACCTGCTTTTCAGGTCTTTCCTTCATGTTCCTTTTTCTGTGCCTCTGTGCATAGACTTAATATGCCAAGACTGGAGAAGGTGTCTCATGCAGCCTTTTCAAGATAGATATGTTCTGCCTAATGGCCCTTCCTTACCATTCAGGTTTTTTGAATATGTAAGATTTTCCCAGGTGTATTTCAGTGTTGATCCACAGAAGTATTTAACACCACTACACCACTTTTTTTTTTTTTTTTTTTTTTTTTTTTTTTTTTGGCTTCGCTTGGTTCTTTGAGTCCTTCATGTGCAAGTCAAGTAGTTTTGGTTCCCACATGACCAGAGAATCACGTTTGCCAGCACAAGTCCTTGGCAATGCTGTGTTGCTTTTTTACACCAGGTTTGCTATTTACTCATCCTGTAACCTGGTGAGACATCTCTCTGCCCTCTGAGGTTATGGCTGTGCTGCTTGCTGCAGATGCATCCTAAGCTTTCAGGTGGTATTTGTTTCCTTTCTGTGTCCAGTCATGTTTTACAGTGATTTCATCATTGGTTACTCCACCTCACTGGGCCAACTGTTGTCCATTACAATTTTTTTCTCTTTCAAGATTGAGGGCAGGAAAACTTGTAACAGTTAACTCATAACAAGACTCTTACATGTTTCTATGGATGTACCCATTTTGTATTACATCAATATATAATTCTGTGCTTCAAATAGTGGGCCATCAACAAGAACATTAGTTTTGATAAGGCCTTTTAGTGTTTGTTCATAAATATTTGCATTGTCTAACGCTAAGAAACAACTAAGACCAGTCATTCCAGTTAACCTGTTCTTTGTCACTTATGGCAGTGGAATACTGTAAGTCTGATTTCTTTATTTTCAAATGAGCAATTCCACTTTGATCATTTTTTTAACTAATTGTTTTGGCCAGAGCACATACAAATACAATCCTCACCAAAATGCTGTAGGGAATCTAGGTGTGTCATGCCACATGAAAGAGTAAATGCAGATTATCTTTTTTGTTTGCCTTTCGCCATTAGTTATCATTAGTTTGAAATTCTGGTTATACTAAAAAGGCTTCTAGCAGCTGGAGGAGTTGACTTGGAGCAAATGCTGAGATAATTTTTATTTTCCTCCTTACTCAGATTTGCCTTCAGACCTCTCTCTTCTCCAAGTGCAAGAAAATAGCGCAGCAAAAACTCTGCTAGAGATTTCATGGGAGGGGAAGTTAGTATTTTTTTTAGGAAATCCACTAGTAAATTAATTTTCACTACTCAGACACATCTTTTGTTGATTTAATCTTATTGCATTCTCATGCCCAAATACAAGAATCCAAGTGTCTGCACGTAATAGTTTGGTCAGGATTCCTTGTGTGCAACACAGAACATGGACAAGAGATGCCACCCATCAAGTTTTTGGTAGGTCTTTTTATTTCTTCTTGACTGACAATAACAAACTGGTCTTTAAATACATCTTTTGTATATTTAGTACCCAAAAATTAGGGTGATCCGTTTGACTCACAATTTTTCTTACTTTAATCTCTGTAAACTTGAGGCAAATCTGGTACCTGTTGTCTGTGGTTCCCGATTTTTGACATCCTTAATTCTTGACATTCTTTGTTTCTGACATGCTGTTCTTGTTGAGATTATGAAGAAAAGAATGACACAAGTTATTTTCTGTGTCTGCATTGACAGCTTTTGTTGTTGAGCACACACACTTCTGTCAACAAGTCATCATGACCTACATCATATTGTTGTTTTATAAGAGTTTGACAAAACTTCTGATTTTGACAAAATAATACATTTCTTAGTGAATGTGTTGTTGTTTATTAGTGTATATCCTGTGACTGTGTTGTTGTTTATCTGTGCAGGTCATGCATTTGACTTCATTCTGGGGTTTCTTCTGGTGCTTACTAACTCATTTTCATCCATGCATTATTTGCACCGGTATTAAGATTTCCAATGTTATTCTCTATGAATTGCCAGAGAACAAGGGAAAATCTGGAGTTTGTAAGGTGTACATATACCTTAAGCCACAATTCCCAGCTTTCCAATGATTTAAACTTTTAAAACTGAGACAGAAACTTCCATATCACATTCTTATAGTGATGGATTCTAGGATTGCACAGTCATCACCAGGATGTCCAATGGTAAAGCTCCCTCTCAAAAGTCTAGTATAAGTTGCCCCTAATTGCTATGTTCCTTTGAATAAAAAAAAAATCATTACTATCCAGCCAAGCTAAATAATTTGATTCGGAGGAAGTACTGCCTTTTTTTCCTTTCTTTCTTTTTTTTTTAAGGAATATAAGTATTTTACAGGAAATGTAAAATCTTTCTTTTTATGAAAGTTCTAACTCCAGGCTGCAGAAATCATGAATGACATTTCTGTTTGTCATCTGTTCAGTGAAGCAGAAGCATGATATTTTCAGATAACATGTTCTTGTGAGGACCAATAAGACCATAACCATAGAAATGAGAGAGCTATGATTAATTATATGCTTCATTAAGCAAAGCTAAGTATGGTACAGTTCCTGTCCGACAATTTTCTCACTTCTTGCACTAATGTTGATCCACAGAAACAGAAGTATATAAGACATTTGTGGAACTCTCTAACATATGTAAAAAATAAATTAGGAAGGGCAAATAATACCTGTCAATCTCCAAACAAAGACAGGTTTTGGCACTGACTGGTCTGAGAATTCATAAATACGACTCCCGAGTCTACCATGGCTTCTCCTGTTGTAGTTGGCACATAGCTTCAAGTTCTTCAGCCACCCAAGTTAAAGCAGTTTTTTATCACCTGTGATTCCCAAGACTACCCTTGCCTGACCCCAGCTTGGCTCCACAAGGACACAGGAGTGCCTGCCTGGCTGCTGCCATCATGAGGATGTCCTTGATGCCGTAGGGCATGTCCAGTGCCACAGGGCATCTGAATTGAACCTCTAATTTTTCTGAGGTTCCAACCATGTTAAAATAAAAGCTTATATCCTACCCAACTGCTCTTTCATCTGTTCTAACAAAAAGTCTTTAGAGCAGGGACCATATTCTTTTGATAGAGGAATCTGAAGAACATATAATCGTTGCAGAAATCAGTACTATATATAGATGGTGAATATACTAGATAGATATACTCTCTCTATATATATGTATTACTTAATAGAGAATTTTTATAATGGTATTTTTATTGAAAAATGCAATTTATTCTCCTGGGCAAAAAAACCAAAAAACCACCAAAAGAACCACAGAAAACCAAACCAACAATTAATACACATTTACTGAGTAAAACTGGTGCTAACAAAGGTGAAAATGATGGTATTAAATAGTGAAGAACTCATAGTCTAACTGGAATAAAACTAATGTGAATTAGGATTTTATTCTGACAATACTAAGAGGAGAGTTAACGATTCAACACCTGTGTCCTTGTGTTTAACTGCTTCATCTTAGCTCTGAGGCACATCCAGGGGCAGCAACAGATAAATTTGAAAGGATCAGTAGGTATAAGATACAAGAGTGATGACTGCAGCTAGTACAGTCATCAATGCTAATAATGGCATTGCATAGTCTGTATTAAATTAATTTTATTTTCTTCTAATTTTTTTAAAATGCACTACAGATTAATGTCCTGGTCACCCAGACATTTGTGTAGGTGTAGGAAAAGGTAACACTTTACATAGATGCACAGAGAACTTTGTTTAGCTTTTCAGATAGCATGAAATATGATTCAGGTTTGCAAAAAGCATTTTAATTTAATCATTCTGCTCAAATGAGCAGTAAAGGAATTGCTAGTACATTAACATTTAAGTTGATTAATAGTTATTAATTTTGTGACTCCAAAAGGGGCTTTTCCATCAAAATTCTTTTAGTAGGCTATAAATAGCAATTACACTATTCCCATTCTTCCTCTACATTGACTTCTGTGCACTTTGGGCAGAAAAAGCCTGTCTCTGAGCAGGCCATGCTCTCAGAATTCTTAAGACATGTATAACCCATGCCAACAACACTTGAAAATTTGTTCCAGTAGTCATCACCCTTGTTTGAAATGCTGGTTCATTTCTTACATGATTTTGTCTGTATCAGATTTTCTCTCTTGCTTTGTCTTTTTCTGGTAGTTTGAGAATACCTGTTCTGATACCCTCTGAATTCCTCAGAACCTTTTTGTACCCTTGAAAGTTTTGCAAAAATCTCTTCAAACATGGATATCACAGAGTTGCAGGACTTTAACACCATCTCATCAATGCTCTAATTTTGTTCCTCCTCACTTTTCTCCGGGTAGGTAGATGTGAGAATGATATTGGCCCTTTTTGCTGCAGTGTTTCACTTGAAGGTGCTACTGAACTGCCTGACTGTTGTGTTACTCAGATTGGAGCCACAGTCCACCTTCCTTAGACTTAGACAAGACTAACTGACCTACTTTGAAAATATAATAAGACAGTCAGTATTTTAATTCACATTTATGTTAGATTTCTCCAGCTGCAGTTGTTAAAACTGTTCTGGTCTTCTGCTATACAACAAAAAATAAAAATCACTATTCCAAGAACATTTTTAGCAGCTCGTTTAGCATATTTGGGCAGGGTAATGAAGCCTCGTCACCTGGAGATATTTCTTGCAGATATATGTGGTTTAATATTCTCTTCTGTTAATAAAACAATGGAGAGTCCTGTGATTTAGAAGAAAAAATAAAATTGGAAATCCTGTTTCTATTTAAATACAGAGACAAATATTTGTTTCATTTTCTTTGGTGTTCTATATCAGGGATACTGTGTTATGCTGCAATTTTTCATGTTCTTATTACACTTTTAAAACTTTTTTATTTTTCATCCATTTAAAACACATTGTATTGTATTAGTTTGAGAAACTTCTGTTCCTGAGGTGCCACATTTTGCTTGGGTCAGGCCTCAGTTTGCCCTTCAGGAGCATCATCTGTTTGTAATAATTAGTCTGTAAATAAGAACCAGCTTCCTTTGTAATGATTACTTCATCTTTTTCATTGTGCTGGTGCTCCCCTGTAGTGGTGCCTTTTGTATTACAAAATGATCCTGCAGGTTTTTGGGGAACACCGACAACAGCTGCATGAGTAATCCTAAACCGAAATTTCCTACAGCAGCACCATTTCAATTCCAGGCATAGCAAGAAATAATTCATCATGGTGCCCAGTTTGGTTAAGGTTGATTTGGGTTATAATGAGCCTTTGCTAGTAATCTGACACAGCTTGCTTTTTTGCTGAATTCATTATTTCACATTTAAATGTTGTGGTTGAGTTATAATTCTAAGCAAAATGACAGAGTATTTGACACCATCTTTTTTGTCTTTGCCTCTCCCACATCAAAGTTTTTATTATTTGAGATTAATTTTTAAAACATTTTTGATTAAGTTTATTAACATAGCTTTTTATGAATAAGCATTTGCAATGCTATTTGATTGTAATTTTAACTGTTTTCTGTTAGGTCTGAAATATTGATAGACCAACACTTCTCAGTATATCTGCTTAATCTGTATAGTCAGGGGTAAAGAAAAATCTCTAATTTAAGAAGTCCATCCAAAATTAATTGTTTAACATTATGAAATACTGATTTAACTATTCAGATTACCCCTTTCTTCTGTGATTTGCAAGGAGGATATTCACAACTAGACCACATAAAGCAGCTGCTTTCAGGCCACCACACTCACATGAGATAGCTTAGCATTAACAAGCAGTGGGCTGAACACTTGTGCACTTGCCACCTCAATGGATGAGGCATCCAAAAAGCTGCAGCTGCCTAAGCTGGTGTCAGCTAGGAACAAATATTATTTTTTTTAAATGGATTATTTGAGACAAAAGAATTCTTTATTCTTTGAGGGTTTATATGGCATAATTGAGGAAAGAAATTGTCTTTACAGAAAAGTGCAAGTCAAATTTTATGTGGCAAACTGCAAGCTCTGTTTGCTGTAAATTTATAGATTATGCATTACCTATTTATTTGACTTGTGTAAAGTATTTACAGACATGATCAGCCTCTTCATTCAGCAACACATAATGACTACAAGAAAAATGCTTTAAAATTATTTTTTCATTGAAATCGCCATGGATGTCATAATATTCACTGCTAAAAGAATAAAGATGTTTGTATCTTCAGAAATAATTTTCCAGCAGTGACATCCAGTTGCATATTTTGTTCTTAGTTGAGCTTACCTGCGTTCTAATCTCTGTGTTACTAATTAAAAATAAATAAGGCAAATAAAAATGCTCTGACAGAAGCTTAATTTTTGTTCATATAGACAACTGCATGACATTTATCTGGAAGGAGCATATGGGAAAGTATATATGCTTGTTTTCTACCTCTTGTAATTTCAGTTGTCATATAGTTGTTCTTGTTTTCCAGTCTGACACAAAAGTTCAAGTAGCATCAAACTTGTATCATTGTTAGTTATCAATTTTTAGAAATGGGTAGAAATACTGTCATAATAAGACTGTGTTATCATTAACTGAGCTTTTAATATGATAAATATAATAAAAAATATAATACACATCAATAATATAATATGATTAAAAAACCCCAAATATCAATACAGAGTGTAGAATACAAAAATTATTTTGAATTTTTAGATGCTGGAAATTAAAGCTCTAAGACTTTGGAGCCTTTACTGTTTTTGTAATTAAAATTTATAAAGTATTTTACTATCAGTAAACTTGAATGAATTTCACCTTCAGCAAACTACCAGGTTTGTCTTTCCTCTGGCCTTCTACCAGTCTTGCCTCCGAGTTTACAAAATCGAGTTGCACTGGAGGCTCATGAGAAATCCACTAATCAGAAAAACAAAATTGCTGGTTTGCTTCCCTGCATCCTACAGCTCCATGCTTTTCCAGATACTCCTACTGCTTGTCCCCTTCTTCTGAGTCCATGCTCCCAAATTATCTCAGTCCTTTCATTTCTACTCCCTTGCCCTACATAGAAGATAGGATAAGACAAAAGTTGCTGGTACAAATAATTTGCTTCACAGGTAACTAATTAGCTAAGGAATTATTGTCTCTGATGCAGAAATATTATTCAAAACTGAAAAATCTAATTCTAGCTGGGAGACATTTCTTACTTCTTTGATTTCTGTTCTCCATTCCTATATTCTTGTCTATATTTGTTGGCACTTTTCCCTTCTTCCTGGCCAAATTTTCTTCTCAGTTCATTATTCAACATATTTTCAATTTTTATTAACCTTTTTACAAATAATTTTTAAAAATTCTATGTTATCTTTCCTCTCCCTTCTTTAAAGCATGAATTATGGCTTCTAGTATCTATTTCTCACCCATGTTCTAGAGTTCCTTTGACCTATCCCTCCCTTGTTTTCTGCACATCATTAGGGCACCCTTTTTAACAGAAGAAGGAGAGAACTGGAGAAGGCCATTTTGCTGGGAAGCTGTGCTGTCCATGTATCAGTCTGTCTATCCCATAGCACACACTTCATACTGAAGAGGTCTGAAGGTGTGACCACAGTCACAGACTTCTGCGACCACAGAGACAGCTTTCTGCTTGTCTTGCTCATAAACAACCTTGGTTTCATTACAGGCCATGGTATCTGCTCATGTGGCCGGTGCATTTGCCAGGATGGGTGGTTTGGGAAGTTGTGCCAGCACTCAAGGAAGTGCAACATGACGGAGGAGGAGAGCAGAAGTCTCTGCGAGTCAGCGGATGGCATATTGTGCTCCGGGAAGGGTAAGATCTGCCAGCTGAGCTCCCCTGTGCCAGTGCCTGACAGAGGAAAATAATCACGTTCTGGAAGACTAATGTGCATGGCGGGAGGTTGTTGTCCAGTAACCCTCTCTTTCAAAAGCACTCATTATTAAAAGGATGTTAAAGGATGCTCTGTAATGCACTTACATCCATTTTGTCCGACACCCACCCTAGCCGAACACGTTCAGCAGCGTTGCTCTCCTATGCAATTTGTTAGTAGCATATAATTTCCTGTCTTTAGCTGATGGTCTGTGTGGAACAGCTGTACATTATAAACAGTGCTCCTTCCACTTTGGGGGAAAAGGGCACTACCCACAGTAACACTCCAGTGGGGAAGATGGCAAACATAATATATTGGACAACAGTATGTGGGGGAAAGTGTTTAAAAGCAATTTGGTACCCTTAATCCCTCTACTCCCCAAAACAGCTGTAAGGGAAAAATAGATATCTGCAACTCCCAGAAATGAATTCTACAAACTTTCTCATTTACTAATTTTCATTCAGCTGGTTGCATCAGCTTCAGTTCAGCTCTAAAAAATTACCACAGGGAAGAATAAAAGTTAGAAAATCTTGATAATTATCTGAAATTATTCTCTGAGGTTTTTACCTTGCAGTCTTTCAGGCTAGGAAATTGCATTAATGGAAAGAGGGCTTTTTAGCTCCCCCATAGTGCAAATTGCCTATTTTTGTATATAAAAAGAGACTGGTTGGAGGCTAGAATGCACTCAATCCAGACTCTGTGTGTCATTTCCTATATTTGTATGTCCCTTGCATAGACAGGAAAGAAGTCTGCCAGCTGGAAAAACCAGTTAGGAACCCTCTGCATCAGGCAGATTTCCAGTTTTCCCTTTGGTAACTTTTATTTCAGTGCAGAGGAAATTTAAATGGGATTTCCAGCCCAGGCTTCACCTATCTGTATTATCACTTACCAGAATTCTCCCTATTGCACCATTTAATTTTGTTTTGGGGCATTTCCCCCTTCAGTTGATGCATCGTCATAAAAAATGAGAAAGTTGCACTGTTTCTCTATTTTTTTCCAGATGGGACTGTCCTTAAATTAGTATATGTTAATAGTGAGTGAGTTACAGAAATGAGAAATGGAAATCACTCTTTTTTACTGCAGAAGTTAACTTTTTTCCTCTTAATGTGTGCCTCACTGAGATTTTTATATAAACCATGAAGGTGAAGGAATATGCTTGGTATCAATAAAATGCTCTATGTAAGATTCTGTATAAGTATAAACATGAAAAATTATGTTGATTTTTAAAATATTCATAGTATCTGCTATCTTTTGCTAAGGATGGCTGAGAGCTATTTATTCCAGCTTGTGGGTCTTACTGTAGGAACAATTAGCTTTGAGCATGTGTTTCAAGGGTCCCATTTACTTTGAGGCTTTGGGAGTAGGAATTTGCAGAGATATCAAAGATTTTTTACCTCTATTGGCTATGCTACCAGGGTGTGGTTTGAAATCTGGTCACTTTTGTAATCTGTAGCAGCCTGCAAGGTGCTCTAGTGCTGTCCTTTCCAAACTGACCCATTCTGTGATTCTGTGACCATAAATCCATCACAGAAATAGTGGTGGGATATTTATTTTGTTTAAAAAAATATTGAGCAAACATTAGAGAAATCACCTCCATAAGACATTTTCAGTAGTGTGTGGCCAGTAAGCATCCAAGAAGAAGGCTACAATCTCCTGCCTCTTCTCAGAGTAGGATGGGGATCACAGGCAAAGACAGTCTTACAAATTTTGCTGCTATGTTTTTTTTTTTCCCTTTATTTTCTTTTAATCTATTCTTGATGCTAAGATATGTATCTGGAAATCACGTCTTACTGGATATTCTTAGTTTAAAACGCTGGTCATAGGTAGTGAAGCACTATCTAGGAACCAAAATGACAAAATTTTCTTTCTGATTCATTACAGTGAGAAAAAAAAAAAAAAAAAAAAAGTAAAAATTACTGGTCAAATAAAAGGGAATTTCAAATCTGTGTACTAATGGTGGTTTTTCCTTTTTTTTTTGGAAACCTAACCATGATATGCAAGTGCTAAAATGGAGTGAAGATAGCTTGAGTTTCTGTATGTAGGTTTTAACAGATTGTGAAGAGTCCTGGTTTTCAGCAGATAACTGCTGAACACTATCAGAAAATTGCACTCTGCTAATATAAGCAAAGTTGGCCATCCACATTCCTAGGCTGATTTCAGAATCTTGGCATGCTGAATGTACCACCTGTAGCAAAAGCTCTTTCCAAGGAAAACAGCAACACCCACCACGCTGCTGCCTCCCTGGCAGTACAGATAGGGCTGTACACGGTGACTGTAACGGTGCAGGATGTGGGCAAGGTAATGAGCCAAATCCCATGCGAGAGGATCTGGCTGGGATCCCAGGAAACACCCTGCAACTCATTAGACACAATTAAACTGAGGAGCCTCCCGGAGCAGCATGCCCTGTTCAGGGAAAAGCTCGATACATTCATTTCCATAAAAGATTTTGTATTTTGGAGCCTTATCTTCCTTGCTTGACTTGGTGTTAAATTTGCTGTAACTTCTGCAAAACAGTTTTAAACATTGTGGGCATCCCTCAGTAGCAGGATCAGTGCTCGCTGATGTAGAATCACTTCAGGCTTCTTACCAGTGTAATACTCTTAATAACTGCTGTAATTTCACTAAAATCCTCATACTATTCCTCATTATTTTCAGATGTCAGTACCTTGCAGTTTGTATAAATAGAGTTGTTTGTTTTAAATTACCCTCAAGTATATCTTAGTGTACCTCATATAGAACAACCCTGTGATATGTCAGCTATCCTCCACTGCCTCTTTGTACAACAGCATTTTTGATCGTTGTAGGGAATATCAGTATTTTCTATGCCAGTAGCCCTGTAAGCAATACTCAGAACCCACAGAAAAAGTAGATGCTTAATCAAATACTTCCATCCTCAAAAGTTCTAATCTAATATATTTACATGTTCCATATGTTACAAGTTAAAGAATTTCCCTAAAATTAGGCAGTATGTTAATTTCTGTGAATTTAAAATAAGCATAAATTACATATTTAATTACAAATTAGATACTCTGCTGAGGCTGTTCTGAAGTTATCAAGAATTGAGCTTCATTATTTATGGGAAAAGAAATGGAAAATTGGTTTATATCAACAGATGCAACTTTTTTTCTTTAAGTGTATTAGGATTGTTACTATGAATTTTTATTCAGAGGTCACTGAAAGAACTGAAAAGATGAATAGCACGATTTTATGGGCTTTGGCTCAGGCCCTGTTAAGTAACCATGAATTCTGTTTAGGGTATATTCTCACACAACCAAGCTTCCTTCTATATATTTTTTCTTTAATAATGCATTTAACACATTGGTGACTTTTTAATAGAATGATTCTGGAAATATTGTAGGAGGCTAGGATTTTCAAAGGAATTTAACTCATCTAAAAGCATCTTTTATAAAAGCTTATTTGGTGAGATTTTTTAACTAACCCCTCATAGTTGAAAATTTTGCACATATTCTTTGCTATAATTTATCTGGGTTTTTGAATTTGTTTTTTTTTTTTAACACTGATTTAACATTAATCAAAAGGATTTTTTTTAGCAGTTAGCAAGACCCCCACTTTAGTGTTTACATGTCTGAAATCTGCAAAGGGCCAGGCTGCTGAAGATGAGATCTGTAAAAGCCAAGTCTCTTCAGCTAGGCGCTGGAATCATTCAGGAGGAATTATCATCTGCTTGTGGCTTTTCTAGTTGCAGAAAAGCTTCTCTCACACACTTCTCAGTGTAGAGGCTTGCTGACACATTATTGTCCAGAGGTACCTGTCACTTTCCACAATTCAGAGCCTGTGGGTAAGAATGACTCGGAGTCTTCTCTTCAAGGGAGGTTTTCTGGTGCCCTGTGGGTTATGGCATCAGCTGAATTTGACCACACAGTCCCTGCTTTGCCTGTGAGGGTGTGGCCTGATGTCCTTGAGGAGAAGGAAAGCAGCTTCTCCCAAAAAGGGGCGTTTGGGCACACTGCAGGAGCGAGCCAATGGCTGAGCTGCCATTATGTGCACAAACTCTTTTTGACCTAGAGCAAATGTTCAGTAAGTCCATGGGAGGTGGAGAAGTTTCGTTTGTGGTGATGAGGATTTTGGGTGTCTATAGATGTTAGTCTTGGGCACTGTTAAGTCTTTTGTGAACTCACTCCTGAAAGCTTTACATGAGGAGGACTATTTTCTTCCTGGATGTTGTTTTACTGCCATTAGTAACAATAAGTACGGAACAATTTGAGCTTTGCTAGTCCAACAGAAAAAAAAAAGAAAAGAAAACAAAAATAGAAGTTACTGGGAAGAGAAGCCCTGATTGTAGGTCTCTGAAACCAAAAGAAAGCTTCAAAATGTGAGTCCTGATTAATTGAAATAGCAGGATCAAAGCTATTAGCAGTAACATCCCATCATACTCTAACTCATGCCAAAAGAATGCTTTCATTCAAAAGGCTTTTAGCTTGATTATTTTCTTTTATGCAACAGCCTCTTAGGCAGCAATTTTGTGCACATGCACATGTGTGTATGTGTGCATGTGTGTGACTCGGGTTGTCATTTCCTAGTCTGAATGTGCCAATACTCTTTGACTGTGAGTAATATTTTTTGTGATTTCAGGCTCCTGCCACTGTGGAAAGTGCATCTGTTCACCCCAGGAATGGTACATTTCGGGCGATTTCTGTGAATGCGATGACAGAGACTGTGACAAACACGATGGTCTCATTTGCACAGGTGCAGTACAGGCTAACACTTAATTGCTTCACGAAACAGAGTTGACGGGAATTATGTTAGACAAAGCCCAGCTTCTCTTTTCCCCACTGATGGAGGAAGCACACTTACTAGTTATTCAAACCTGCTATAATTGTTTCTTCATGCAGCGCAATGATCAACTTAAGGTCTCAAAACAACAGTTAAAAGCTTGAATATGAACTTAAGTACATAAGCCAGCTATGGAATCCATTAACAATTCTCTCTGTAATACACTACAAGTTACTGTTTTTTTGGCAAAGAACACAATGTCAGCATTATGATCATGAGGTTTCCTTAGCCTTTGTTCTTTTACTGGACATTCCATGTGTGTAATGCATTTAAGTCACAGACAAAATTCACTGGTGGGCTGGGAGCATAGTTGTGTAGATTAACAGAGCTTCCTAGCAATCAGACAACTGTTGGTGGGAGGCTGGAATAGCTGATAGCTTTTCTTATGATGTGAGGGTAAATGATTCAAGCAGCTTCACCTTAACATTGTCTGAATATGCAGGTGGCAGATGTCGATAGAAGTGGGCAGGCTGCCAACAAACCCTTGTGACAAGAATAGTGACAAGAAGCAGCATGGGAATTGCTAAATTAACTCACTGGCTGCTTCCTGTTACAAATCTTAATTTTAGAAAATCTTTGCTGAGCAATTATTAGATGTGGAAAAACTCTGCAAGCCAATTAGAGTGAGAGTGGGAAGGCTGACACTAGTAAATTGTGTCTTCCAGCTAGACCTGTTAGCAAGGGTCATTTTCTGGAAACAACTAGCATAGCAGGAACAAGAGCCTTATCTGTAGCTCTAATGCCTAATCATGGATCTTCATAAAGTCAGAAGGAAGAGGAGGTCTCAAACTGAGCATCCAAGGGTCATAAAAAAATTTTAAATAAAATTAATAGATGGGTCTCAGCTGTTCCACTGCTGCAAAATAGGGCCAGGACATTTTTCACTTCATAGAGAGTTTGAGATAGGATTTATTTGTCTAGCACTTCTGAGGTTTTAGGTTTAAAGTTTTTCATGCTCAAAGCCATAGTTTAATTGCTATTCTGTTGGTAGCTTTTAATGACTTTTTCTTTATGAATAATAGTTAATCTTGTTTTTCTTTGTACCTGGAGGCACCGTGTGAACACTTAACCTCACCAGCTGGGTACAAACACTAGTGTACACAGTTACACTTCACCATATACTATTTCAATATTTCAATATTGTTGATGCTATTAATGCCATCTAAGTATAGGTGTCGGGTGGCTTCTTAATGCAATGAATGGTTCAGTAATTGCTTCCTTCCAAAGGAAAAAGGGGACAGTGAAGGAACAATGCATCTACTTTAGCATAGCTTTTTACTTCTCATAAAACACATTTTAATATAGTATACTTCAATTATGATAATTGCCCTTTATTCATTCTGTTCTAGGTAACGGTATTTGTAGCTGTGGAAACTGTGAGTGCTGGGAAGGATGGAATGGAAATGCTTGTGAAATCTGGCTGGGGAGAGAATACCCTTAATGAAGGATGTCAAAGATTGAGGAAGTGGTTTTTTGTTTGTTTTTCTTTAGGCTGCTAGGACATTTAATTTCCTAAGTGTCTGGGTGTGGGTATGCATGAACGCACACTTACATGGTTGTAAATATCTTAGAACACATTTGAGGATTTGGTCCTTAAACAAATGCATCAGAAAACTAAACAAGGAGCACGACAGCCCAAGCTCTAGAGGGTGAATTCATAAAATACTGGCCCTATGGAACTTCTCCAGAGATTTTTTGTAAATTCGGTGGAACCTATATTATACCTATAATGACTATTTCTTTGAGCAACCTGAGGCAAAGGTATAAGAAGACCCTTATTTTAACATGATTTACTTGTTTGTAATTTCTCCTTGTCAGTATGCAACAATTCACCTGTAGGAGAGTAGCACTACTGGAATATTGTCAAATAATTTGATTTGTTTTATGGTATTTGAAAAATACCATATTATTTGGCCCATTTTTTCTTTCCAACAATCCTGATTATGAACCAACTCATAAATTGAAAAAAAACAGTAAAGAAGCCTAGTAAAAATTTTTTATTTGGTCAAATTATTGTGTAACTGAGGTCAAATCATGTGACACTTGTAGACTGAAGACCCAAAATGTTTGAATGGAACATTTTCCACAGGAGAACTTTTAGTTTCTGTGGTTGATATATCAGTAAGTTGGTTATCTAATCTACATATTACAATACTTTAAAATACATAACCTATAGAAACATATGGAGTGAAACTAATAAAGATATAAAAGTATGATTGCCTATTCTGCATATGTATTCTGCAACTCACATATACATCTGTTGTACTGTTCTATATATCTATAGCTGCCTCCTGTAAAGCAAATGAAAATTTTTTATATTAGTAACTTTTAGGATTTTACTCTTAGAATTCACTGTTCAGGAGAGATTGCCCTGTCACACATGGACTTCACTGAATTTAACTGCTTTCATAGAAGTGGGGAACCTGAACATCAATTGACTTGAAATATCATCTGTGCTATGCAGTAGCTTGGTCTCAGCCAAAGATGTTTGGGCAATGTCAACAAAGTAATTAAAGTTTTAATACAGTAAATACAAACAAAGCAGTGGTATGAACAAAAATTTTATTTTTATTTTCCAATGGTGAAATGCTGCTCAGTGTGAAATTCACATTGAGTTATGAACGATGCACAACTATTGGGACTTCCCTAACTTATTTACAGGAGTCTCTTATTTTTATTTTTTTTTTTTGTACATGTAGATTTGGCAGCCCTTGAATTCTTTAGAGCAAAAACAGAAAAAAAAAAGAAATATACATTTTAATTTCAAAAGTGTTTACATTTTGTGAGACCATGATTGAGCAAGAAATTGATTAAATGGCTCAGAAATACTTCTTTTAGATACCAAACTTTAACATTGTGGTTTAGGTGCCAAGGTCCTGATTTTTGAAGAGGTACATGACTCAGATATAATGGAACTGTGTATTAACAAAAAAAAAATGTTTTTGCATTATTAGTCTAGAAATTACTTCTTTTAGAAAGGACAATTTTGAAATAGGAAAATACAATGGTACAGAACATGTAATAGAATGCAAAATTTCAATTTTATTTATTTAACTGCTTTATTATCCCTCTGTCCCATATAGCTTGCTCTTTAACTACCACTTTTTTTTCCTCTTAACCTGGATTCTTTCTTTCTAAAAATGAAGCTTGTGAAGCCCATGTTCTCAGGGGAGTACCATTACCAAACATCCAACTTATACATAAGCTATGCAGATAAATAACTAGACATACATCCCAAAGCTGCTAACTACTCTCTTATAGATAACCAATTATTAGATAACCAAAGTATCAGGCAGAGTTCTAAGCTGTATTCATAATGCATGAAGAATCCTCAAAGTATAATTCATCTTGAAATTTTAATTTATATTTTATACTTAAAACCCTAAAACTCCATGGAGCTCAACAGGAGTATTTTCTCAAGTTTTAGAATATATGCATTTTGCCAACCCTCATGTCTAGAGAGGACAAATTGTTGCTTTTATTTATATTTATGAATAATGAATACCGCTGACCTGAATAATCTCATTATCACTGGGTTTTTTGCAAATACATTCATCTGCTGAATCAGAGTGTAAACAATGAAGGATACTAAGTTCTCCTTGCTTTCCTTCTGTTTGTATTTAGTATTGTATAAAGAAAATACTAGATAATCAAAACTGTTCTGGGTCAGTAGATGCTTTCGACTTATTTCATGGCATCAAAACATTTATATATACTGTAGATCAGCTGTGGTATTTCAGGTACTCATTCATATATAAAAGAACAACTCTTTAGGTGGTTCCAGTGTCATATTTGATGCATTTTACTTTGTCATTCACTTTAATTTTAAATTTTTATACTTAAAGAGTATAAAGTAATTTTTATTTCTACTTTGATTTTTTTTTAAACCAATCAGCTCCAACTTTTTTACTACTGGATGGATTATGTAGCTATAGCATTTCAAAAAGTGTTATCCAAGTTGTTTGTTAACTTATATATGAAAAAAAAATCAGAAGATCTAAGACAGCTACTCTCCATGGTTCCTTTAAATGCAATTATCAAACAAAATGGTGCTATAACTTAAAGTATTAACTAAGACTACTAAAAATGTAATGAACACATTAATTATTTTCCAATTTTTCTTCTGTTTCCTATAATGTTGCTTGAACATTTCCCCTGCTCTTCATGCCGAGGTAACTGGTGATGTGACACCCAGTATATCTGTTTTGTGGCTCATTTCCTCTCTAGAAAAATGAAATCAGAAGGAATAAGATTATTATTCCACCTATTTGAATATAATAGCTATATTAATAAATAGTTATATTTTTCCCTTATCTCCTTCCCTGTGATGGGAATTCCAGATACATAAACTGTAAATGCAGGAAGAGGCATAAGGAAGAAGAAACTTCCTGCTTGATTTTTCAATGCTAGTGACTGTAAAAACCTGCTTCCAGGCCTGTGGCAAAAGGCAAAACCAAATTGGATAAAAGGGGACACTTCACTGATTAGATTGATAAACCTTATAAACAAAAAGATATTATAGCCTTGTTTTCTTCTGATGTGAGAAGGAACACAATCCAGAAGCGTGCCAGTGTTTCTATAATAAACTTGCAGAATTACACCTATTGTGTTTAACATATCTGTAATATCACCTGTAAAAAAAACCTGTGGATTGATTTGCTTCTATAATTTATTAACCTGCTTGTCATCCATTTTTTTCCCCACTGGCTATATTCTTTCTTAGAAACACATGGATGCATTTAATCATGTATTTGCTGTCCCTTTCTGATACATTGCCCTTGCTTCTTTGCAGAAAGACATCCCACTTTGTAGCTAAATGATACTGGGATGAAAAAAGCTAAGTTGAATATTTTTGTGACTAATTAATTGAACAAAAAAAAATTATTACATCTTTTAAAATAAGTAATAGCATTTGCATTAATCATCACAGGAAAAAAAAAAAAAACAACCCTGTTGTTAAACATTTTAGAATGCATTGCATGAAATATGAATTTATCTAAAGGGATATTTAAAAGAAAGAGAACCTTCCCTTTGAAATGTAGCTGAATAATCTTTCTTTAGAGCAATAAACAGGTGGATCATCATGGTACACTTTTACTGCATGGACCAAACTGTCTGCTTTCATACCTCATTGTGTAAACTAGTTTTAAACCAAGACAAAAAGTTTCCCTATAGATATATATTGTTTCAGGTACATACCATGGTCAAAGTGAATTGCTTTACTTTCTATCTGGTGAAGGGGAGGGTCTGGGAGGAGTTTATTAAAAACCAACATTTATGAAAATGACAGTATATTACAAAATCAATTGAGAATGGCTAAAAAAAAACAGAAAATGAAGCAAAAGCTCTGTTATGTGAACTACAAAGCACTTAAAAGGAGCTAGAGACCTTTCAATAGGCTCTATCATGTGAGCAATTTTATAAGGATTCTTGTGTATTTATAAAATTTTTGAAGTACAGCAGAATGGTGCTTTATTGAAGTAGTTCATATCTCCTCAAAACTGAATCTCTAAAACTGTGCAGGTGTGTCTAATTTTGCCAAATAGAACTGTAGATGAAATACAGATCAAAATTGAGATGAAAACAACTTTGTGCATTGTTAACATATAAAATGGCAAGATAAGGTTAGACTTCTGTGTGAACAGTCTCTCAGAGATTAGAGAAGACCCAGAAGAACAAAATACAATGCAAGCATGCAAAAGACCTGGAACGCTGCAGATTCATGGACAGCTGCACATGTAAGTACAAAAACCCCAATCTGTAGATATAAATCGATTCCATCAGGTTTACTATACAGTACTTTAGTGGTAACAGACAATTGAAAACAGCTTTCACTTAACAGCAAAATTAATTTTAGAGGGAAGTCTCATCCTGGAGAACAGCAAGAGAGGTATTATATTAAGGAGCTGAAATTTTCTTTGGCATGGTAAAGGGGGAGAACTGAGTTTGCCAACCTATTTACATAAGTTTAACCATCTTGTGGCCAGTGCAATTGATGCTTTGCACAGTCTATTTCTTACATAAACTTTTTTGTTGGTTTCCAGTATGCCTTCATATAAATGTTTTATTCATCATGTTGAATCTGTGTATACAATAAAAAAGAATCAACACAAAATGTACAATGCAAACAAACTCTTTGCATATATGTATGTAAATTTGTAACAGTGGCCAACAGTTCTTTGACAGACACAACCTACAACATGCAGTTAGTTCATCCTTGTACTCTTCCCATGCAACAGATGAGACAAGACAAAATTAAAGGGAGAAAACAAAGCACGAAGATACTTCTGTTATGTTTAAACAGATTGTAGAAAAAAAAATTAGGACATTGATTCATTGGATTAAACACTCATATGAATTTAGCCCACAGAAACAAAACCAGAAAACAATAATTAGAAAAAAATAAAAAAGCTGTGTTTCCAGTATGTACTAACTGCTTAAAGAAAATACTCCTGGCCTTAATTATAGCCTCCCAAACTGGTTCACAGATCATAGCTGCTCAGGACCAAAAGTTTAATGTCGAAAACAATGTTTATATAGGATCAGGCAATGAACCAGATCCTGCTTGCATGGCTCAGCCAGGTCTCCAGCCCTCTCTCTCCTCAGGCTCTTACACTGGGTGAATAAAAAGACAGCTGAATGGGACATGAACTCGTGTATTCCTTCCTTGTGAATCAGCTGAGAGAGAATGTAGCCTTCAGCTGTTTTATCTCACTTGAAATACTGTGATGTTCTCCTCTTACAACTGCAGAAGGCCTGGGGCCCGGGTGGCAGTGCAGCCCAAGGCTGCTGCCTCTCCTGGGTCCTGCACTGCAGAACCAGCCCTGGCTCATCATCTGAGCTGCTTTGGTTTGATTTTGTTTTGTCAGGGATGGTGCACAAATCCCACTGGACCAGATGGGATGAGAATGGCACACCGAAGTTTTTAATAAAGTGTTGTTTTCCCTGCTCACACAGATTTAGTGCTAGCAGGCAAGGGCACAGTCTTAAGTCAAAGTTTCTTTGCATTTTTGTCACAGTTTTAGATTAGGTTTGTATTTTTTTTTCTCTACATGGATAGAGGGCTCATGCTTAACTCATTCCCTCCCTAGAAAGACCCAACATTAAGCATTATCTTGCTGTTCTTATATCACACATACAAAAAGAAGTCTGACCTACAGAAAAAAGAAAAAGTTTATCTAGAATTTAGCAGCTTTACAGTAGCCTCCGTGAA